AATAAAAATAAGTTTATTTAGATTATGACACTGACGAAGAAACAGATAAATTACTTGGTGTTGAACATCGTATTCATGCTAAGAATCAAGCTATTCGTGATGTCGTATGTTTAAATATAGTGATAAAATAAATTAAAAATAAAAAACCTTATATTGTTTTATTTTATCTAGGCAGTTTCGAGACCATCTAGTAAACCTAAAACACAAGAAGGTAAATTTTTATTTTATTTTATTTAAATTAAAATCTTTTTTTTTTTTTGTATATATTTTTAAAAAAAATCTGATTTTTAACTTTTCTTTTTTTCTTCTTTTGTAAGTAATCGAAAAATTTGTTGTTGTTTGTTAATGCATGTACTTAGCCACATAAAAATAAAAGTATTTCAATAATAAACATTTTATTATACATATTTTTAGTTCTTATTCGAACTATTGTTGATCCAGAAAATTCTTCAGTACTTATTGAAGGTGTTTTATTTCGTTGTCGTTATCTTGGTTCAACACAATTACTTGCTGAAGGAAATCCAACTAAAGCATCACGTATGATGCAAGCACAAGAAGCTGTTGGACGTATTAAAGCACCACAAGGTGAAAGTCAACCATCAGTTGAAGTTGATTTATTTATATCAACGGAAAAAATTATGGTTTTAAATACTGATTTACAAGATATTCTAATGGATCATTCTCTAAGATCAATATCTTATATTGGTTAGTAAAGAAAATTATTTATTTTTATTTTTCTAAAATCCATACAGTCATAAAGAAAGAATATCTCTGTCTTTCTACCACCTAGTAGCAGATTCAATAGCCTGATATCTTTCTTACAACTATGAATAGCTGTGACTCTAGAAAGAAGATTGACATAACGAAGAGTTCTTGCGCTCTACAAAAAAATACTAATTAATAACAAGAACAAATATATGTCGTAATGCAATCAGCATTCTATCGAATGCGAATGGCCCGAGACAAATAGCTATTATTAACTTGTTCAGGGTAATTTCATGACTCAAGGTACTAAGGATTTCATACAATACTTTGTAGGTACGTTTCGTACAATGTAAAACTACTCAGCCATAGTGGTTTAGTCATAGAGAATAGATTATGATCAGGAAAAACTGCCTTTCAATCACCAAAAAAGAAAAGATACACTTGATGGCTAAACGCATTAGTATGAAGTGGATATTAGAGATTTAGTATTGATGAGTACTAGATGGCACATTTCTGGCAGATAACGTTCTTATCTCAAAAGCTAATTCATCAATAAAACAAAGTTAAGCAATAATAATAATAATCTCATTTGATCAATATGATCATATTAATTCAGAACACTTATAGTGAAAGATGTGGGTGTGAATTTTCTCTTTTGTCTACCCACGCCAACACCATTTCTGTTTCTACTATGTATACTATTTAGTGTCATTTTTGTCTGACGCATCGATTTTTGTAAAAGTATGAATGTTATTTCTTATACTATTCGTTATTATATTCCAGATGTATCTTTTTTTTTTGTGTGATGAAAAAATATGCATAACCTTATATATGGCGAGAGTGACTCTCTACAAACTTCAGCAGAGTCATAGCATTTTATTTATTATTTTTTTTGTTGACCATCCAATCCTCCTCTGAGTCCTTGTGACACCTCATTTTTGTTTTTATACTTTTGATATATTTCTCCAAATCGATAGAATATAGACGTACTTCGTAATTCTGTTCAAATAAAATATTATTATTATTATTTTTTTTTTTTTTGTAAATATTTAGCTGATATTGGTGATCTTGTTGTACTAATGGCTAAACGACGTTATTTACAACATACTGATGATAATATTAATGGAAATGATGATACAAATGAAACAAGTTCACGTCGTGTTGTATCAATTAATCAAAAAATGATTTGTCATGTTTTTGAATCTGATGAAGTGAGTTTTGAAACGAAAAATTTTAAAATAATCATTAATATATATTTTTGAAAAGGCTCAATCAATTGCTCATTCCATTGGACAAGCATTTCAAGTAGCATATGTTGAATTTTTAAAAGCCAATGGTATTGATGATCCAAGTTTTACACGTGATATTGATTATCAAGAAGTACTTAATCAACAAGAAATTGGTAATGAAGAATTAGATCGATTTTCAAAAAAAGAATGTCAAAAAGAAGTAAAACGAATAATATTTAGTTTTTTTTTAAATTTTCTTATTTTTTTTTTTCTTTTAGGTTATTGTTCCAAAATCGAAGAATGAACCACTTGGTGTTGTTATTGTAGAAAGTGGTTGGGGTTCAATGTTACCAACAGTAGTTATCGCAAATATGATGCCTAATGGACCAGCAGCAAGGTTTGTTCCAGCATATCAAAAAGACTTTTTTTTATGATCAATATAGATATATTAACTATACAAAATAGAATTCATTGGAGAATAATAATTTCTTACAACGGATGTCCTTCAACTAATAAATCGCTTTTGATTCGAGGTTACATGTATTATGTAGACCCAAATGAGCTATAAATATCGTCAGAAGAGTTCGTACACATAGCTTATTGCTACAATTTTACGATTTCTTTTTTTAAATGAATTCTGTGATAACAGAAAAATGTATTTTTATTGTAAATATCGCTGTTCCTATTCTAAGATACAATTTTGGTAATAGTGCGTGTCTTTTATATCATTCAACTTGACCAGCATATTTGACGTTCACATTTCAGAATAGTTGTAAATCAAAAGATATGAAACTACTCTCATTGAAGACCTTTCTCTATGCAAAGTTTCATGTCGAAATTCGAGAATCAGTTTCGTTTTTATCATGGCATTCATTTTAAAAAATACCATAAAAGTATAGTATTTTCATAGCAATAAGATAAGAACGCGAATTCTTTTCAGTTTATTGATAATTCGTTTAAGTCTACATAATTTCGATTTATCAGTTGAAAGACTTTTCTCATTCAATAGAAACCGACTTATATTATTTGAATATATTTGCTTTATTGTTGATTAGATGTGGACATTTAAATATTGGTGATCAAATTATATCAGTTAATGGAATAAGTTTAGTTGGTTTACCGTTATCTTCATGTCAAACACAAATAAAAGTAATAAATTTGTTTTTGAAAAAAAAAAAAAAAAACAAGTCATATTAATTTTATTTTAGAGTGTTAAACATCTTACAACTGTACGATTAGTTGTTGTTCCTTGTCCACCAGTTGTTGAAGTACTAATTCGACGACCAGATACTAAATATCAAGTAAAAATTTTGAATAATCATTTTCAATATTTAAATCTAATTTTTTTTTTTTATTCTCTATAGCTTGGTTTTAGTGTACAAAATGGCATTGTAAGATAATCTTTCATTTATATTAACTATTAATAAATTGAATTTATTTTTCAGATATGTAGTCTACTTCGTGGTGGTATTGCTGAACGAGGTGGTGTACGTGTTGGTCATCGAATCATAGAAATCAATGGACAAAGTGTTGTAGCTACTCCACATGAAAGAATAGTTAGTATGTTATCAAATTCAGTTGGTGAAGTAAGTTAAATTAATTTTTTATATTTTTTATTCTTTTTTTTTCTAAATTATTTCATCTTTCTTAGTTACGAATGAAAACAATGCCAACTCAAATGTATCGTCTATTGACTGGACAAGAAAATCCAATATATATATAAAATAAAAAGTCTTTCTTGTTGTTTATCGTGTTTTTTTTTTTTTCTTTTTATCGAAAAATAATATTGTTGCCATCATCTTTAGTATTCGATCTCAAAATTAATTCATTGTTGTTCTTTAACTCGAAGAGTATATATATGTGATATTGATCCTGTTCTCTCTATCACACACACACACACACAAATATATATATATAAATAAATGTAAGCAGAGTAATATTATTCAATATCGTATGCGTTTATTAATAACTCTTTTGTTTGTATATAGACTGTTTCGTTTTTTTTTTCGTTTTTTTTTTTTTAAACTTCTGTCGAGCAACGAAATGTGTGAACAGTGTTTGGTGTATTTATTATTCTTATTTACTGAAGTCTACTTTTTCCAACAACTCAACTGGATTATGATTGCCTCGTTCGTTCGTTTTTTTTTTTCTTTTATATAAATCTCTAGAACCTCACATACTCATGTTCGGCCTTTATTCTTTTTTTTTTCTTTTTTGAATTGTATACCTCTTCTTTTTTTTGGCTACTCCTCGTTTTTTTCTTGTTATATATATATATATAGTCAGAATGATGCTGATGATAAAAAGAAAGAATATAAGATGAAAAGAAATGTTTTATTGTTGTACGAATACATAATTTATTTATGACCAAAAAAACAGAAAAGTCTTTTTTTTTAGAAGATTGATGTCGATTATGATGATTATTATGAAATAGATTGATATAAAATAGAATGTTTTATTGCATACTGTTGATTGATTAACTAAAGATTGAGTTGCTTCGTTATATACAAGTTTTTTTTTTTTTTTTTTTTGCTTTATTCTTAATACTTATCAAGGACATTATTTTTTTGTATACCGTAGAAATTCATGTTATCAAATATTTTGTTTAGGACAAGTAAGAGTGACAACCAGTTTTTCGATTTACGACAGAATTTACTACACTAAAGAAAAAGAGTAAGATTTTAGAGATCTATAGAGAAAAAAACAATAGGATGAATGAACAAAAAAACATGTCATTTATATTGCAATTTCTACTCGATGTAAGAAAACTATTTGTTAAACCTATAGCGTTTTGAATCAATGTAATCGGAGACTAGAAAGATTAAGAGAAAAGCTAGGATGAACATAAATACAGCTATAATTTTTTACTAAGCCTTAGAAATGAGAAATAAACATTTTTACATAATGAAGAAATTGTCCATATAGTATTAGATTATTTTTATTATTATACATAATATTAACAGCAAAACAAAAGAAAATGATATTAGCATACCACGAGAAAATAGAATAAGAATCTGACTGAAAATTTAAGATAATGGAAGTCGATCTACTATTTCAATATTAAATTTAAACTAGATCAGTACGATGATTGCTATTATTATCGTTTTTTTTACTAGTTGATGGTATAAATTGAAGTGGTTTAGGATTAATTGAAATGAATGATGATGATGATGATGATGATGCATTATCTACTTGTTCAAATGTATTTAATACATCAACTAATGATTCAATAGCTGGTTTTAGTTCAAGTGCTTCTCGAAATAATACTTCTTTTTGTTCATAGACATATAATCGTCGAGTTCGATCATCTAATAATGCTTGTAATTGTTGACAATGTCGTTCAAATAATTCATTTGATTTTGATAATTTTTTATATTCAAGATCTTTTCTTTGTAATTCTTCTTTTTGTTCGTTAATTATTTGTTCTAATTCTTGATTACGTGTATATAACATTTGTAAATGATTATTTGCTTCGCGTATTGTAGTACGTGTTAATCTATTTGATATTGATGAATTATCGTCTGCATTTGTTGTATGTCGAATCGTTCCTTCGGCCATCTTTTCATTACTTATCTGCAATTAAAATACTGATAAAAGTCTAGAGAATAGATGATTAAGAATGAAGTAGTCAAATCATTTTAAATTCAACATTAAACGATAGAAGTATAGCAAAAAAGAAATACATATGAAAATGTTTCGAACATTTAGTATTGATTTATGTTTCTTGCATTTGATAACTTTCTTTTCATGGACAATCAATATAAGTTCGAACATTCTCATAATTAATCCCTTTACAGGCTTCAATGCTGTTTTTTTTTTATAGGGTTATTTACGAATAACTTTTTCTATGCGTTGTTAGTAGCGCCAATCTAAAGAGAAATCATTTCGAAAATTTCTACTTTCAAAAGCATAAAGATTTATTCCAGTAGCCAAATAAAATAAAAATACTGACTATTCTCTAGTTTTGACAAGTAACGAAGATACCTTTGTATTTTAATTCGTTCAATTATTAGCCTATAAAAATCTTAAAGAACAGTAATGTATCAAACCGAGCGAACGAAAAAAAAGATGAAAAAAACATACAATCAATCAATCAATCAATCAATAAAACTCTTTAAAATCAAATCAGATGTGTGATACCTTACTTGTATTTTATTTCATGTAGAAACGAACAATGATGAACTGGCATCATTCAAAAAAATATCTTACTCAATTTTCACAGAATATAGTGATGTAAGAATTCATTTGACAGGTTTTACTACATACTTTTTAGTTGCAAATTCTTAATGTCTTTTTATTCTTCATTTGAAAATATGTGCCATATGTATGTTCACCTTTTGTTTCTGATTGTTTTAGTTAATGGCACTTAAAATTCGATGTGGATACATATATATATGACCTCGCTTTATGAATCATTTTTTTCTTTCTATTATTTGGTAAATTTTACAAATAAGCATCACCAATATGTTAAGAATATTGAATATGATTTAGCTTTTTATACATAGAACTATGTGTAATTGCAGCAAAAACGACAAAGAAGTACCATTCAGTATCAATTTCACTGATCCCATCTGTTTGCATACATATATACATATATAAATGCATATATATTTTATATATATATATGCAATGCCCTACGGTTGGTTTTGTTCCTTTAAGAGAACCAATTCAAGGTAATGACCTTCTTATGGCATAGTAAAAGACTTTATTGAGAAGCTCTTTTTTCTTAAAATTTGTCCTTTAATCATTTCCTATTGTAGTATGTAGTCAAGTCATTACTTAAATGAGGCTTCTCCTCTTGAATGAATTGTATGAATCCGTATAGACATACGTATCACTTGTCTTTCATTTTCTATGTTTTTTTTTTTTACTAACATTACCATTATCATTGATGACGTATCAAAATGACAGTCATGATTGTATTTATCACCCATTTTCAGAAACAGGTATAACAGGTGAATCTTTTTCTCTCGTTTTTTTACGTCTCTCCCTGTTTCTTTCTTTTACGCTTCTCTTTTTTTGACATCGGATCTGATCGATTTTCTTCGCTTGTCGTCCTCCTCATTCGTTCTCTCTTGTGAGTCTTTTTTTCGCCCAACAAAATAAAAATGTACATGCACGAATTTATTGACAGATGATGTTCTCTATTGGTTTCTTTTTTTCTGTTTTACATAGTCAATGAATAATATGTGATATGAATAGATAATGGTTATTTGAACTAAATCAATCAAAATGATGAAAACAACAAGTCTTACGAAAACACTTTTCAATCATCAAACTCATTCACGATCAGTTAATTTATATACACCATCAACAACTTCATCATCAGAATCAACATGTGAAACAGATCCATCATCATTAAGTTCTTCGTACAAAAGTAATATCGATACAAATGGTATTAATAATAATGATGATACAACTTCTATTCCACAAGATAAATCAAATTTAGTACTGATAACTTTAGTTGATAAACTTAAACGTGAATTAGCAACAGCAAAACAAGCAAAAAGTCAATTAGAAACACTTTATAGAGTAAGTCTGATAGAGATACAGATTCAAATGCAAACGAATAGTTACCTTTTTTAATTATTTTTCAAGACTGAAACTTCGTGATCCATGCGTATAGATACACATATTTACTTTTTTTTTCTTTACTTTATACCTTTCTTGTATAATAATTATATACAAATATCACCTGCATCTAAATATACGAAAATGATTTGATTAATCGAATCATTTACTTTTTTTTGTATACATTTTTATAAGATTTAAGTAGATGTATAGAAAGTAAATGAATAAAAAGTTACCCTTATTGCGTATTGTTTCTACCAATAGTTTGTCTGCTTTAGGTCAAATGTAAATCTGACCTTGATAAGTCAGCTAAAATTACTAAACTCCGTCTACAATATGAACATGAATTGAATACATTTTGTAAACAAGATCAAAAAGATCTAGTATGTTATTTACAACGGCAATTGATTGCACGTGATCAACGTATTGCTGAACAATCATATGATATTGAACAATTAAAAAATTTGTCAATAATTAATAGTGTTGATAGTAATAATACAAATATATGTAAAAAATTGATACCAATACAAGTTTTAAGAAGCAGTGATCCTGATGTTGTTATTTCAGCAGTAAGTCAAATAAAAATTTCTTTTTTTTTTTTTACGCATTCTATTTTTTATTCGTCACTGTCTCTATGAATTGTTTTGTGATATCTTTGTTTTTCTATTGAGTCATAGATGATTCATTCAAGAGATTGACCTTGATTTGACGTCAGTTCTTTTTCTTTATCCTCTCATGTCCCATTTATTTTCTTTTTTTGTTCTTCGCTTACATTCTTAGTTCGATAAGTATAAGCATTTGCGCAGAATAGACATTTACTTACTTTTTACACATAAATCACAACTAAACTCAAAAATTACTTACAAATAATGGCTGGTGACGATACACAACAGAGCGGTGGAAAATCAACTGAAAAAGAAAACAAAGCCAGTAAAGGTGATACGAATAGTGGTGACAAAGGTAGTTCAAAAAATGATGGAAAAAGCGGTGGTGGTGACAAATCTGGTGGTGGGAAGACGGATAATTCAGGTAGTGGTGATAAAGGCAGTTCAAAAAATGATGCACAAAGCGGTGGTAGTAACAAATCTGGTGGTGGGAAAACGGATAATGCAGGTAGTGGTGATAAAGATAGTTCAAAAAATAATGGAAAAAGCGGTGGTGGTGACAAATCTGGTGGTGGGAAGACGGATAATGCAAGTAGTGGTGATAAAGATAGTTCAAAAAATGATGCACAAAGCGGTGGTAGTAACAAATCTGGTGGTGGAAAGACGGATAATTCAGGTAGTGGTGATAAAGATAGTTCAAAAAATGATGCACAAAATAGTAATAGCAATAAATCTGGTGGTGGGAAAGCAGATTCTTCAGGAGGTAGTAATAAAAGTAGTTCGAAAGATAGCGCCTCAGGTGGCGCTGATGCAAAATCGGCTGGTAGCGATGATGTGAAATCAGGTGGAGGTGGTGATGCAAAATCGGGTGGAGGCGATGATGCAAAATCAGGTGGAGGGAAAAGTGATGATAAAGGTGGCTCAAAAGCTGAAGCATCTGGTGGCGAATGGGAAGGTGGCGATCCAGAAAAAGGTGCAAAAATTTTCAAAACAAAATGTGCTCAATGTCATACTGCAGAAAAAGGCGGTGGTAATAAACAAGGACCTAACCTTCATAGTCTATTCGGTCGACAAACCGGTCAAGTTTCAGGCTTTAGTTATAGTGAAGCTAATAAAAAAAAAAACATAACATGGGGTGGTGATACGCTTTGGACTTATTTGAAGGATCCAAAGAAATATATTCCTGGAACAAAAATGATTTTTGCCGGACTTAAAAAAGACGAGGAACGAAAAGATTTAATCGCTTATTTAAAACAACAATCAAGTGATTAAAAAGATACATATCGTACAAAATTTTTCTGTTATTCTTCAATATTTATTCAAGCATCTTCTTCACTTGAATTTCAATATGAATTTTGTATGTGTTTTTTTTTGACATTTATTCTAGCTTCTGATATTTATATTTTTTTATCGGTCAGAGTGATTTCGTTTCTATAGAGTTGAAATGAAAATGTGAATATGTTTGCTTTCAAGGAGAAAAAAACCTCATTCTGTAATAAAAAAAAAACTAAAGATTTACAAAAAAATAATAATTCTCATTTCTTCTCATGACAATCTAATATTTTATTACAATTCGTACTACACATGTGTAATGAATATAATATTAATAGCTCTTTTTTATTTGTTTACTCTAACAGCTGACTATTTTTCAAACATATTTTTCTTTTTTTTTTTTTTTTTTTTTTTTTTTGAGTTATTTCCTTCTTTTCTGCTCAATGAAAAGAAGCAAATTTCAAGTGATTGCCATCGATGTGTTATGGAGCAACGAGGAACTGACTGTTTAGGGATTTCTTTCTTTTTCTATTTACTTGTTAATTCTATTTTCGAAGTTAATCATACTTTATTATTCTTATTTTCTTCTGCTCTTGTAAAATTAGAATCAACATGTGTATGATGAACAAGAACAGACATTACAACGACAGAATATTGAATTAGATGATCGTGTAAAACGATTTGAACGACAATTAGAAGTACTAAAACTAGATCAACCAGTAATACAAAACAAAAAAAACAAAAGATTTGAACCTATAAGTATTATTAATATATTCTTTTTCGTATTTAGAAAGATCATGATAAAGAATTAATTAAACGAGCTTTAGCTAAACAAGCAAGTAAAGATGCTGTTGAATATCAAAAATTATTAAAACAAAAAAATCAAGAAATTGAACAATTAAATATTCAACTTGAACAATTGTCAAAAGTGAAAGAAAAAACCAAATCCAATTAAAATGAAATTATATTCTTTTTCTTTTGTAGTTCAATCTTTTTGAACCAGCTCTACGTCAAGCAAATATAGAAAAATTATATCTTGAACGACGTCTTTTAGTTTCAACAACATCATCATCATCATCATTATCGTCATCATTATCGTTGAACTCGAGAACAAATGCGCCCGTAAGTCATCAAGCATCATATTAAAAAAAAAGATGACGGAAACTGTTTTTTTTTTTTTCTACATTATTGGTTGTCTCTGAGGTAGAAAGATATCTTCTTTCTTATCTTCGTCGTTCGATTCATTTCCGTAAAAAAAGAAAAAGTAGAAGAAACAAAAACAAGTCTTTTTTTAATGTATATATATTCAAAAGAAAAATTTCTTTCTTCATTGAATCAATTCCATATTTTTTTTTTCTCATTGTTAGTTCCTCTAGTTTTCTTTTCCTTGCCTTTTCTTTATTCTTATTATCTTCATCGTATTGGAAGAAAGACATGTGAGAACGAGAGGAAAAAAAAAAAAGTGCAAATAGAAAGACATCTTCATCGACATGCGCACACATGAGCGTTGGGGTTTTGTCGATGAACATTCTTTTTTTTTTCTGACTATTTCTGTCGCTCACTTTCTGTTCTGTTTTTTTTTTCCGTTTTTCCCGTCTTTTCATTTTCTCTTGTCGTTAAGAGAGAGAAAAAAAAACGAGAACTTTTTTTTTTATCACATCACTACCGTTTGCAGAAGACTCTTCTCTTTCCCATAGATAATCATATTAGTTATTTACGCTCGCGTGTATGTGTGTATGTATGTAGCAGTCTCAAATTTAGACGAACGGCGAGACTAAAGCAAACGATAGGAAACAGAAAGCACAGATTGATTCGTTTGACCGTAAAAATAAAAAAAAAACAATAATTATTATGACGAGTTCATCATCACCTCGTTTTACCGGTTTTATACGTGATGTTCGAACGTCAAAACAGAATTTACAACATACCATATCACAGGTTAGATAATAGATGAATAGATTTTTCTCGTTTTCATTTTTTTTTGTTCTTCTTTTCATTCTTCATTTTCCTTCTTTCTTTTAGCCTTCGACTACTCATAATGTTCCAAATATTAATGAACAACAATCTTATACAACACCAACGAATAGTCGTTCAAGAGCTGATTCTTCAACAACACAATCTATTGATCCTTTTCTTTATCAAGCATTACAAGATACGAATGAAGCATTAAAAAGTGAAGTACAACGTCTGACACGGTCTGATGAAGATAACGTCGGAAAACTCAAATTACAGGTTTTTAGAATTTTATTTATATTGTTTTGCTTTATTCTTGATTTCAACATAGTACATTCTGTCTCTATTCATTAAGAACAAAATTGACAAGTTTATCTAAGCCATTTCTTTTTCTTTCTTTCTTTTTGTCTTATTCTTATAAATCCATTTTTCATTAACTAAAAGAGACAGATGACAAATAAATCCACAAAAAAAAGTCCACTTCTGATTATATGTTTTAGCTTCAAAAATATACTGAACTTGATGAAGCACATAAACAACTTCAAGATAAATATACAAATCTATTTGATGTTGAAGAACATTTTAATGAATTACAAACAATATATAAAAATGAAAAATCATCAAATGAATATTATTTACGTGAAAATGAACAATTAAAAAATCAAAATGAACATTTACTAAATGAATTAGCACGTCTAACACAAGTTGAAACACGTGATCGTACACGTTCAATTGAACAAGCTGATTTACGTCATCAATATGATCAATCAATAGTACAATATAATGAACTAAAATTAAATTATAATGAATTAAAAGAAAAATATCAAGAAAATCAAATTAGTTATGAAAATGATATAAAATATCTTAATGATGATATATTAAAATTTCGTTTAGAAAATGAACAATTACATACTGCTAATGATTTATTACATGATGAAAGAAATCAAATGAAAGAATCACATGAAATAATATTAAAAAAACGTTTAGATGAAATAAAATATCTTCAAATTGAAAATCGTGATTTACAAACAATAAGACAAAAATATAATGAAGAACGAGAAACATTTCAAGCAATTGATTTAAGAAAAACACAATTAGAAAATGATCTTTTAACAATGCATGCTGTTGAAGATCGTTGTCAAGACTTACAAACAACTGTTGAACGATTGGAATCGGAAGTTCAACTTAGTGTAAGTCCTTTGTACATTATAAGTACATATATAATATAGTAAAGAAAAAAAAAAAAGTGTTGAAGGGATGGAGGGTAAAGGGTGAGATGAACAAGAGAAAGAAATAAGGATCATGTTTCCGGAACTGATAAAGCAAGCTTGGTTGTCCGCCTTATTCAGTGTCAGCGAAGCGGAGGAGACCGACCTATTCACAATTGCATGATGAGGAAAACCATCCTCTTTTTTTCTTTTTTTTATTCTATTCTATGCTTTTTTTCTTTCTTCTAACGTCAACAGCAGAAAAAATTGGACGATCATGCAATGGCACTAACAAATCTGAATAAGGAAAATGCTCGCCTTGTAAGTACTTGAACTACACTATTCATCTTTTTTTCTTTCTCGTCTTACTTTGTCTCTCTCTCTCTCTCTCTCTCTCTTGTTTCTATTCTCGGGATACATTTTTTTTTACCCTCTAGATCAAAGAGCTCGAGAGTGCCTCAATGCTAAACACGCAAATGCGCGCTGAAATTAGCAATGCAACAAATACTAATGAACGGGTTAGTAATGACTATGTGCGTTAATACAACATAAAAGTTCGAGAAAGAAAAAGAAAATAATAAATATTTAAATAAATAATGAAAGTCATGAAATATTTTTTCACTATTTTTTTTTTTTTTTTTCTATCACTTGAATAGTTAACACAAGACTGTGATCGATATCGAACAAGTTTACTAACAAAATGTGAAGAATATGAAATAAAACGACGTGAAAATGAACAATTAGTAAATAAAATTCATGAATTAGAATCAACAATTAAATCTCTTCATGATACAAATGATTTACATAAACAATTAAATGTTGAAAATGAAGTTAATAAATTAGAATTAAAAAGAAAACAAGATGATTTTGAACAATTTCAACAAGTTAGCTTCATTAAAGAACATTCTTTTTTATCATTTCATATATATATATATATGTTTATAGATGCATGATGTAACAAAACAAGAAAATCAAGAAACAATTCATTTACTTGAAGTATTATTTTATTTTTTTTATGCTTAATTTAATTTTCAGAAAATTTTTCATGTTAAGGAAAAAATTCATGATCTTGAACGTAAAACTGAATTACAATCATTAAAGCATGAAGAAATTCTTCTAGAATTTGAATCATTAAAAGCACGACGTGATCGAATATTACCATCATCAACAGGCATAATACATTCAAATAATCATACAAATATATTTCCATTAACACATCATTGGCCAATGCCAACAATGGTTGATTCTCAAACATCACCAACTGATGATAATATACCTCCTATACCGTCACCATTAGTTCCACAACGACCATTATTAAAATCAACTGGTAGTCAATCTATATCAATCAGTGAAAATCAAGAAATAAAACCAAAATCTTGTACAAATAATCAAACAGCTCAAATAGTTATAGCAAAATATTCTTATGAACCATTACAATGTTCTCCAAATGATCATCCAGAAGTTGAATTACCATTAAATGTTGGAGAATATTATCTTATTTATGGTGATGTTGATGAAGTAAATCAACGCCTTTTTTATTGTTTTTTCTTCTTCTACATTTGAATTAATAAAAAACAAACTTTTGTTTTAATAAAATTTTAGGATGGATTTTATGATGGAAGAAATTTAGAAGGTCGTTATGGTTTAATACCATCAAATTTTATTGAAAAAGTAACAAATTCAAATGATTTACCTGAAACAGTTCGACATATAATTCAACGATTAACTGGAAAAATATTTTCTGGTAAAGACAAAAAAAAACAAACATTTTATTTTATTTTTTAATTTCTTTTTTGCTAGAGGAAACACTAGTACCTCGTCGTGAACCAACTATAAGTGGTGAGTCTGATGTATTTACTTCAAACATATTGACTAATACTCCAACAACATATCGAAAACAAAGTATAAAAAAAAGAAAACAAATAAAAACTTTTATTTAATATTAAAATCATTGTTTATATTAGTAGCATCAACACTGAATGGAAATCCATCAGATATGTCGACAATCAATGGTCTTACATTTGGTAAACATGGTAAAATAAATTTTCAAGTTATGAAAACTAAAAATCTTAATGTTTTTTTTTGTTTTTTCGCTTTTAGTTCCTTGTCCTACAAATCTTCGTGTAGAAAAATATCTAACAAATAGTATATTAATTGCATGGAATCCTCCATCATCAACAACAATACAAATTTTTGGTTATCAAATATTACTTGATCATTCATTATATATAACAATACGTGTTAATGAACGTACACGTGCATTAATTGAAAATATTAATTTAAATGAAAAATTTCATCGTATAAGTATACGTACAATAAGCCAACATGGTTTATCGCGTGATCAAGAATGTACATTATTATTAACAATACCCACTGTAAATGGAAATTTAAATGATTTATCATATGCCCCAAGTGATTTACGTGTGGATAGAATAAATCAAACATCAGCAGTTGTTTCATGGTGGCCAGCATCAAATGATATTGTACATAAATTGTTTGTTAATGACATTGAAGTTCAAACACTTAAAGCTGGAGTTTATCGTTTTAAATTATCTGGTTTATTACCAAATACAGTACATAAAGTAACAATTAAAGCTAAGCCAAATAATATAACAAATACACAACAACCATTAGCAGCTTCAATTGAATTTTGTACAACATCATTTGGTAATTTTTTTTTTATTTTGTTTTTTGTATTATAAAATTCTATTTCATTTTTGCATTGTTTTGTTTTTTCGTTCTAGATGAATCAATCGAACCACCTAAGCGTGTACAAGCTATAGCTGGTCCACAATCGAATACTTTACTTGTATCATGGGAACAACCTTCATCAACAACAACAACAGCTCGTGGTTATCGAGTTCTTGTCGATGGACGACAAATACAAGATATAATTAATTCATTAAGTAAGAAAATCTAAATAAATTAATTTTGAAATTTATCATTATTTTTTTTTTCTTTTATTATAGATGATCATATTGTAATCAATATGAATTCATTACATCAAGGAAGATTTTTAACCGTTCGTACATTAACAGAAAATGATGGTGAATCACACGATTCAATTCCAATAGATCTTGATGAAATATTAAAAAAAGTATGAAATTATTTATTTATTTATTTTAATAATTAATTTTTTATTAGTTGGATGTGGATGTTCCATCGACAACAGTATCTGTTCTTCCAGAAGAAACATTTGATAAAGAATCTATACCACTTACTGCATCTTCTTCATTAACATTAAGAACAACATCAGATGAAGAACTAACAAATCCTGAACAACAACTACTTTCAACACCGCCTGCTATCATCGAAACTCAACAAAAGGTTTTTATATATGTAATTATTTAAAGCGGCCATCACAATATTCAATTGAATGTAAATTCGATTTCTTTTAATGTTTTGAAATAAGTGCTGATGATATGAATAGAGAAAATAAAAGTACTTGATATATTTTCAAAATTCAGAGTTTTTGGGAGAAACAAAAACCGTAGATTTTCGGCACCCAGCGCCTACTAATAAAAGTTTGTTCTTGTAACGAAGGAGGATAGATTAAAATATTTTCAGCAAATTGGCATATCCCGAAGTTCTCTATGACATTTTTTTGCTGTGCTATATCAAATTTAGATAAGACCGAAAAGACGTTTTCTTGTATTTGTCTCAATAAAAATAGAAACAAAATGTCTTTTGGACTTTCCATAACTTCGGTAGAGTTCAGCCAAAAGCTATCGTGAAAAGATCAGTATGTCTCAACTTGGTAAGAATGATCTACTTCATTGTTGTCCTTTATTATCGGATTCTGGATACAGAGAACCTAGATTTTAGGTTTTATAAAAATCCTGGCTTTTGGAAATATATCAAGCGATTTAATTTTCTTATAACTTTCTTGGAAACATTTCTTTTTTCTATATAAATCATCAGCAACTATTACAAGAGTAACAAAATTGAATTTACGCCTGTTCGAATAATTTTGATGGTTACTGTTTAGTTACATGTATATTTATCAAACTTTTTTAGTCATCTTCTCGTCCACAAGAAATACCTTCTCCATCCGCAGCTTCAATTTCGTCAGTAAAACACCCTTCTACAAATATTTCACAAACAACATCAAATATTTCACTACCACAACCACAAATAAAATCTACACCGACAAATCCCGATAAAATCCGCCCAATAACAAAAACTTCTACACGACCAATAGGTATACCACCAATACAATCTCCATTAAAATCTTCATCAACAACATCATCAGTTAATACTGATGTACCACAAATTGAAATTAATTCTCCAAGTCCAAATAGTCCTGGAATGACAACAACAACAGCAGCAGCAACAACAACAACAACAATAAATACAACAGTAAAATCAAAAACTGATAATCGTGATCATCATGAACAACCACAACAACGTTTTGGTTATGATAATTATATAAAACAATCTGAAGATTCTACATCACATATTAAATCTAGTAATAGTCCAAGAAAAACATCAAAAACATCAACAGCCATATCATCAATTAAACAACGTGATCATTCAGATTCAAGACGAACAACAACAGCTACACCAATGAATGGTACTCCAAATATGAGTAAAACAAAAGTTTCATCACCACGTCATGCATCAACATCATCTGAAGAACAACATGTTATACCACCAACTCCAATGAAAACTGTTAAATTAAAAGAACAAATTCCAACACCATCAGTTTCATCAGTCAATAGTCATTTATATAATAAAACAAATAATCCACCACGTTTATTTATTGCTTTATTTGATTATGATCCAAATGCTATGTCACCTAATAAAGATAATGAAGAAGAATTACCATTCAAAGAAGGACAATTAATTCGAGTTTGATTTTATTATCTTTGTTATATTCTTCATTGACTATTATTCATATTTAGATTTATGGTGATCAAGATGCTGATGGTTTTTATGTAGGTCAAACAGAAAATGGTCGTACAGGTTATGTTCCCAGTAATATGGTATCAGAAATTCAACTAGACGATGCTGAAATTGAGGCACATTTACTTGCGGGTACAATAAATTTAGAAAATCCCAATCGTGTGACATGTAAGTCTTGATATGTTATTTTTCTGTTCTATAAATTGTCTTTAGCAGCAACAGTAACAGCAGCAGCACCAACAGCAGCACCACCACCACCAACAACAACAACAAAACGAATATCACCTGCAACAAATTTATCGAATGTAAAATCACCGATACAATCAGTAAAAAAAATGATTTCTATGTTTGATTATAATCCAAGTGAAAATTCTCCAAATATTAATCCTGATGAAGAATTATCATTTCGTTCGGGTGAAATTATTTATGTACATGGAAATGTACATGATGATGGGTTTTATTTTGGTGAATTAGAAAATGGAACAAAAGGTCTTGTACCATCAAATTTTCTTAAAGAAGTATCATTAATAAATATAGATGAAAATACTGTTCAACAAGATAATGAACAAATGATTACAAATGAAAATAAAGTAAAGAAAAAAAGAAAAGATATTTTTTATTATAATTATACTAATGAGTTTTTATTATTTTTTTTTTAGAAAACATCTTATCGTCGGTAGGATTATCGTTGTCACATTAATATTCAGAGGCCTTTTTTTTTGTTTGTTATATTTTTTTTTTGTTTTCAGCAGTCCTCATCAAGTGTAAATGAATAATAATTTCAAGAAATAGTTAATATTTCTCTTAATAAAATAATAGAAGATTACCTAGCTAAAATAAGTTTATATTTGGAATTTTTAATTAGTTATTAAAATAGTGAAACAAATCATCTTATTATTTCAAAAAAAAAAGAAAAATACTCAGGTTTTGTTTGTTTGTTTTTCTTCTTTGGAACAGTAAATGAAAAACAAACAGCATGTATGTAAATGTGTATTGTTCCGGTAGTGTATACCTTTTCATCTTTTTATTCTGTTCGTCTAACACTTTTTTTCTTTGTCTTTTTTTTTTTTTTTTTTTTGTATATAATATATCCGATGATTAAACATTGTTTGTTTTTTCTTCAATCGTTATATTCCGATTTTGTTGTTTTAATTTTATTTTAAAGAAAAAGAAATATAATGACAAGAAAAATTTTGTACAGTTTTTGTTATATTTTGATTCGAAGAAAAAAAATATATTTATTTTGTATTTCGAGGAGGTTGTACATTTGTTAAATGAGGATCATAACTTTGAACTATATTTTGAAATAATGTTGGAAAACGTTCAGGTAATAAGAGTCGTTCAACATAAGATGGTGCATTATAACGAAGTGGTACTTCAGGAAATGTAACAAGAACATAACGACTGAAATTAATAGAGAATGGAATTTACTTTTTTTTTGGTTACGTAAAAAAGAAAGTATAATAAACCTGCATTTCGATGGAATCGATACAACACGTTGTCCACCAACATAAACAGGTAATTCAGGTATATCAGGATCAATTGATAAAGGACTACATATTGATGGTGAACTATAAAATAAAATAATTTTTTTTTCAGTCTCAACTAACTATTCTTAAAAGCATTATTAATAATATTACAATCGTGTAAAGAATTTCTTTGTGTTCTTTCAGTTAATTAGCGAATTATTATTAAAAAGAAAAATAATCAAATCTTTTGTCTATATACTTAATGACATTTTTTGTTTTTGAATATATTTAAGAAAAATCTGATTAAATATTGATATTTCTAAGTTAAAATCTTCAATAGACAAACCGAGGTTTTGTAGTTGATTGTGATAACGATGAAATTGTTGTCGTTGTTGAATCGAAATTTGTTCGTTGTCTACTGCGTGATAGTTTTGATGATGATCGTTGTCGAACTATAACTGCTGAACCAGTCACAATAGCTGATCGATTTGATTTGTGCTGTTGTGATGAACCCATTGTTGAAATCGATGTATTTGATAGAACATTCGGATCTTTTCGACTATTTGTATTTGTTACTAAAAGTGATGGTGGTGGTGGTATTGTTAATATTGATGATTTTGATGATATTGGACGTTGAGTTAGTTTTGATTTACTTCTTCTTTTATTTATACTTTCATGAAATTCATTAGAAAAATCTCCAATTACAGTAACACTTTTGATAAGTGATGAATCACATAAGTCTTCTTGTTGAATTGATGAAGATGTTTCAGTTGGATTTGGAAGTATTGGTATTACTTTTGATGGCGAAAGACCAGGACTTGATGAAGATACTGGAGGATTAATAATCGCATTATTATCAGTTCGAATATGTACTGATCGTTTTGTTGATGATTGTTTTGCTGTTATTGTTTCATTATTCGTTGGCTGTTGTTGTTCATTACCTTTTTTTTTTTGCAAAAAATATTATAAGATAAATGTATTTCATATTATAGACATACGTACAGTGCAAATCCAGTGGACTCCATTGTTCACGACTAACAAAATGTTTACCATTGAAAGCATTTGTTGAACTAGTTGTTAGATTATCTTGTGATAATTGTGATGTTTGTGCTGTTTGAATACGTGTTCCTAAAATAAAATGAAATATTATTATTTATTTTTTTCATTAATAAATATTCTTTCAATTAACCAGTAACAATTTGTCGTTGAAATGTATCAAATTTAATATCATTTGAATAATATAATTTAAATAATTCTTCAACATCATGTTTTGATTTTTCCATACGTTGTGAGAAATTTTTTTTATGACTTGCTGATTGTCGAAATAATTTTCTTCGTAAAACTACTAATGGTGTTGTTTGATTAGTAGCATTTGTTGATTTTGATGTAACTGACATTGATGTTGACCAACGTGATGTTGACCGATTTGGATCAGACATTGTCGTAGAAGAAAATGCAAAGCTGATCAACTATAGTGTTGATCAAGCAAAAAGTAAAAAGAAAAACACTCGACTATGTATGTACTCAATAATATTTTCATTCCATTCAGATTTTCTCTCTACACATACACATTTACACCTATTCGATCAACTATTTTGATTTTGTAGTCAATAATGGTTTGTAGAAATTGATTTTTCTTCAATACCTGATGAATGGATAAACATATGATGTTCTTCTAGTGGTTCATAACCAATCATCAAAGGTAATCATTTGTCAACAACATACATAAAGTAGATTTGGCTTCTTAGTTTCAACACTATATGAAGAAATAAACTTGCTCATTGACGAACAAAATGAAAAGAGAAGAAAAAAAGAAAAGAAAAATTGATTTCTTGCGTTATGTCGATTTGCCATGTTTTGTTTGCACAGTAGGCAGAGTAATGCCGCCGCAATAGGAGTTCTTTCTACTTTTCTTTTTTTTTTTCCTTGCTTTCTTTCAAATTGCATAAAGTAATTCGACCGCTTCACATAGTGATGATGATGGCAGTAGTATGGTGTTGTGTACACCAATCAGTAAAATCAAACACACATACACAAAAAGAAAAAAGTATAAAAATAGGAAACAATCAGTGCTTATTAAATAACAAAGAAAAGAATGTAGCTTTTTATCAAGTGTAAAATTTTTTCAAAAACAAATTTTTTTTTTTGAGACAACTAAAATAAAATTTACATATTTTAAATAAGAAGACAAGTGATTTGCAATTCAACAATATTCATTTGATCTTTTACAAGAAAATTAATCAATTTTTTTCTCGAAACGAAAAAAGAAAAATCTTGAAATTCTAATTGTATTAATTAAAAATATATCATTTTCCATCATGTTCGTCATATGATTAGGTTTCATTTTATATAAATAAATTTATTAAATAGAAAGACTTGATAAAATTAATTGATAGTACAAATCATATAAGATTTTTTTTTTGTTTTTGTTTCTCTTTTATATCTGATATTACAAGGATAATCGAAATTCAAGGAGACTTTATCCAATGGACCATATCCATTCTAGGGTGTCGGTAATTCGAAATTTGTTTTTCGCAGCTAATAGAGTTCATTGAATTAAATATAAAGACGTTTCTTTTAGCATATTCAAACGATGTCTTTGTAGTCAAAATTAAATTTAAAAAAATCAGAAAAATTGAAATACGTCAAAAACATGAAGTCTTGAGAGGTTTAATATTTATCCAAGTTTAATTTTTGATATTACTCATCACATAATTCTGAAGCAAAGCTTATGCATGCTTTTTAAAAAATATTGTTTGATTGTGTTCTGAAAACTGATTTTTTTCGATATGATAACAAAAAGATTATCAATATGAATTTGTATTAAAAGATTTTGATCATCAGAAATCCATTTCGAACACAAACAAATATCATATTAAGAATCAACAGAAAAATTTACATCAAATTATATACTAAAATAGTCAAAAATAGATTTCATCAAAGTTCAATCTGTACACTTCTTCACTATTATTTTCGACTATTGTGATCTGTACTTTCCCACAGATCGACATTTGACGAAAAACATTTTTGATTATTGAATAATGCTATTCGATGGAGAACTCTCTGTTGTTTCTGAATTTGTTATTCGTTTCGTTTGGAACTGAAGTTCTGATCAAACTTTTTCCATGAGATGTTTATAAGTGTTACTAGTCAAGAAATAAAGATGTCATAAAAAATCAAGTATGACAATTCATGCATAGTAATCTTGTCCATATATTTTAGCACTGGCTTTAGTTAGAGAACTTAAACTTTGAAAAATTCAAGATTTTGATTTGAGATAAAAATTACAGCCAATCTATGTCAAGCAAAAATATGAAGAATATCATTGATAATTTATACTCAGTTATAATGAGACATCCTTTATGACGAGTAAAGTTAAAAGCAAAGTTCAAATAAATATTAAGACTATCGAAACTTAATACTTTTGATATATTTCAATTTTTATAGGCTTTTCTGATTTCTTTTTATCTAATTTTCACTAGAAAAACAACATTTTTATAGGTAACTCAACAAGATCTATTCAACTAAAACCAAAAAAGCATTTTCTTAAATTTCGAATTGTCAACACCTTACTTTTAAAGTAAAGCTTTATGTATACGAAAAGAACAAGCAGATATTGATATGAATAATTCAATCAATTACAAAAGAAAAAAAACAATTCCGATGATCATTTCATTTCTTTCTTTTTTTTTTTTTTGTTAAACAAATAGCGTGTTAACCATAAGCATGCATAAATGAAATGTGTTGATAACATAACTTTCTTTTGTTGATGATTTTTGTTAAATAGTAAAAAACAATAACGAAAACAAAGAATAATAGTAAAAACAAAAATCATTTTGGATTTTGAAATATGTTGTTTATTGGACCATTTTCAGCGAAGTTAAAATTCATTGGTTGTCCAGCAGCAACTGATTGTGAAAAGTTATAACCACCGGCATCACGAATTTTATTTGATTCTAAAATATATTCAAAATAAAAGATCTAGCAAACAAAAAAAAAAAAAAAAATCGACAAAAAATTTTACCTTTTTCTTGTTTTCTTTTTTCTGTATAATGAATTATATTTTGTATATGTGTACGTTGTTCAGGTGTAAGACTTTGTAATAAAGCTTGATTATAACCAGTCGTATCCAATTGAAGTTCTATTTAACAAAAAAAAAAACAAAATGAAGAGAATTTATTTTTTTGAATGATATACTTTGTAAGCTTTCACAAAATATTTGAAATTCATCAATATCTTCATTAGCTTCAAGTACAGTTGAATATGATTCAAGATCAGTTTCATCAATATCAAAATCACTGCCTTCATCATCATCATCATCATCATCACCTTCAAGTCCATCACCGGACATTTCATGATCGGATGCCTTTATTAAAAAAGAAATATTTTAATTATTATTTGTTTAGTTTTAGATTCATACTTTTCCTTTAAGTTTCTCAAGAAAATCATCTTCATGTTCAATAGTTTCATCTTCACCATCTTCGATTTCTAAGAATAAAAAAACAAAATTTTTATTCTTATACAAATTTCTATCATTTAGACTTTACCACTAGCTACTGAATCATCATCATCATCATCATCAGTTTCATCATCGCTATCATCTTCATTATGCTGATAAGTTTTCATTAAACCTTCATAGATTTCAATACAATTAGGTAAAATTTTTGGTACAACATTAGATATTGCTGAATAATAATTAGCATCAATACGTAATAACGTACAAAGACCAAGTGCACAAACACGACGATCATGAATACCAGCAAATAAGTGACAATCAGTCATCCATTGAGTAAAAAAATTTGCTATTATAGTTTGTGTACTTGGATCATTTGCAACAACAGTATTTAATGTTTGAAAAAATCTCTCAGGATTAAGCCATAATATAACAATAAATACTTGAATTAGCATTAGACGTAATTCACTTGTGATTATATTACGTTGAAAGCGTTTTGCAATTAATTGAACTATTGCAGGAAGTGCCTTGAAGATGAAAAGAAAACAGTAGATCAGAAATTTCTTTAGTTAGAATAGAAATTCATACAACAATCATATTATCTTGACATTGAAGAATAATAACTTCAATAAGTTTAGCTGCATGTGCTTCCGAATCTTCACCCAAATCATTGACGATTACCTATAGAGAAAATAAAATTAATTCAACGTATGAGGGAATATATAAAACTATAGAACATTGTATGGCTTCATATTATGAACACGAGTAGGTCTCCGTATGAGACTTAGATAAATTGAAAGGATTCATACTTATAACTTATTTAGTGAAAGAAGTCATGATCTGAATAAAAACTCTTCAAGGATTCGTAATATAAAGCCTGTCTTCTTGAGTTATGCTCATTTTACTGAACTTTAAGTTTATTACATACAAGATAAGTATTCTAACAGTGGCAACTCAAATGGATGTTTTCTTTTCTAGATAATACGCTTGCAAAAAAAAAACATTACTTTCATACAAGAACTGGAGAAATAGCCTAGTTTCTAGACATACAATATCTTAGGAAGAAATTATCCGTTTGAGTTGAAACTCTCAGAATATCATGAAGATCATAAGAGTTATTGTTGGCAAGAAGTTCAAGCCAAAACTCCTTGTTACAATTCTTTTTGTGATATCCATCTCGTAATAGACTGAAAGTTCAGTAAAATGACTATAGCTCGATAAGAAAGACCTAATGGCACAAATCCTTTCAAGATTTTTATTTGTACTATGAGACTTCCTTAAGAATTAAGAGTTTTAACTTGAAATCTTGCCTATAAGTAGATTTAATAATTATTAGCTAGTTCTACTGGTATCAATGAATATGAACGTGTTTGTCTCAGGATATTCAATTTTCAAATAGGCTGGATTATTGTGCTCTTACGAAAATCAAAGTATTTTTCAAAAAATCTAAAATAAAGAGTTTCGAATTGAAATTTTATGTACCGATAGATTTAATGATCATTAGATAGTTCCGAAATTTTCAATTAAAACAAGCTTGTCTTTAACAAGATATTCAATTTTCAAAATAAACAATCATTTACTACAAGATTACTAATAGATCAAGAATACAAACCCTTTTAGTTTTTTTTTCTTCTTAATTTCATACAAAGGTCTACTCATAGCCATGATACGAAGTCAAACGGTATCTAACAGTTGCATATGTTCCCTCGTTGTTAAACACCTGTCAAACTGATAATGAATAACCATAGTTTGATAATGCAATGTCATAGTTGTCTTACTACGTAGTTTTGTTAAGTGTACTGATTAATATGTTCTGAACTTTGTAGCGCTCAAATAATCGATGATAGACATGTTTATCTGTTCCGATCTGTAGGAAGCAACAGATATTGAGATGTCTGTTATTCGTCCATCTTTCTACGCATTCTCTGGCATATTATAATTAACATTTTCTTTCCATTATCAAGATATATACACCCTATATGCAAATACTGCCAAATCTCAATGAATGTTTATAAAATCTTCTCGTTTATATTCAAATTAATTCGATGAAATTTCATCTTGTTTTTTTTTCTATGATCTGTCACAATATGTCTCGATGTAAAATTCTTTAATTACTTACATGTTTACACATTTCAAAAACAATTTCAAGTCGATCAGGATGTGATAAAAATGATGGTGTATCATTAACAACATAATTATGCAAACAATTCATAATTTCTTAAATATAGCAACAGAAATTAACAAAATAAGGAAAATGAATTTCTCTTCAAGCTTCTACTTACCAGCAAAATAATCAGCAGCATCACGATAGAATGCTTCTTTAAGTAAATAAAATGCTTGCCACATTAACGGACTAATTGTATTGATTGTTAATGTATCAATAAGAGTTAAAATTTCTTCATAAAAATCTAAAATCGAATAGGAAAAGAGTAATATGTCTTCAATTCAAAAAAAAACAAAGATCTTCAATATTTACCAAGAATACCATCACGTAATACCAAAGCAATAATTTCATAAATACTTTGTTCAATTTGTGCAAGTATCTGATTAAATAAAAATAACAAATCTCTGCAAATCTTTTCTTGATAACCTTAAAATTATTCTTACTTCTGGTTTTTCTCCCATACAACTAACAATAGTATCTAATGTATTTAAAACTCCCATAGCAGCAACAGTTTTTTCTTCTGCTTTTGTTTCATCACTGGATGCATTTTCTGTAGAAACAACATGTTTAAAAAATTCTACTAATTGTGATGTCATTTGTACAGCAATCGGCTGTAAATCTTGATCAAATAAACCAACAATTTTTTGTAAAACAATCATAACATCATCAATTTCTGTTTTACGTATTATTTCAATAATACGCATGACAATTATTTGTAAATGTGGAACAATAATTGTTTTATCTTTTTCATTAGCTTCTGTATCAGATAAAAATAAATTTAATGCCATTGCTGCTTCAACTTGTACTGGTAATGATGTATCATTACATAAACAGTTTATTAGATTTGTTAAACAACGTGATGAATTATCTGTATTTGTATATTCCAGTTTTGAAAAATTTCTTAATGCATAACAAGCACGTGCACGAAGATATGCTACTGGACTTTGCAATTCAGGAAATAAATATTGAACAATGATATTTTCTAATTGATTAGCAAAAGTTTTTTTCTTTATAAGAACATTTCCTATAACGCCTAACATATGTAAAACGCCATCTTTCTGTTTAGTTGATATTGTATCATTATGAATGATTGTACCAAGAAAACTAACAGTTTTCATTAAAACATCTTTTCGTTTGGCTACAGCATCAGATAGAAATAATTCAGCAGCTGACACTGGACTTATATATTCATCAAGAATATCTAAATAAAAATTAATATATTTATTGAAGAAGATTTTCTTTTTATGATTTTTTAATAACATACCAAGACGAGCACGAACAAATTCAACGGGTTCCTCATTAAATAATTCAATATCATCATCATTGATACATAATAATGGATAAATAATATCTTGAATTAATACAACAATATTATTTTGAACAATTTTCCATGAAAAAGCATGACGAACACTTAAAGATAAGATAGAAAACGAAAATTCATTTCGTTAAATTACCTTTCACGTAAATAATTAAGACAAAGTTGTACCACACGTGGTGAAAGATAAATTTTTTGTCTATATGCTTCAAGAATACCGAAAATAAGTTGAATAACTTTAGCTAAAAGAAAAAGAAAGAAATTCTATAGAAATAAAAAAAAATATATAAAATTCAATGAATTCCATACCTGAATAACCTTTTAAGTAAAAATTAGCAAATTCAACTTTTTCATGTGTTTGTCCTTTAGGTAAATTAGCTGGTGATCCATGTCTAAAATAAAACTAAATATGATAACAAGATACTTTTTGTATTATTTGTATTTTATACCTTTCAAATGTTCGAATAAGAATATGTAAAGCCCATTTTTTACATTTCCACCATGGATTTTCAGCTCGATCATCTTCATCAAGTGCATCTAAGCGTTCAGGTAAACGTCTTTCTAATACCATACAACATGTATCAAGCCATGAAGCCATTGTTTGAGTTGGTAATACTCGAAAACTTAGATGAAGCTACAAAAATAGTATACATTTAGTTTATTCCATCAATAAAATCAAGCATATGAGATGTAGGCTTAACATTTTTTTTAATAAAATCTTCATGTGAAAGTTAAAAACTGAGAGAAGACGAGTAGTTTTTCAATGTATAACATTTGTGAAGATGAGAAGATAATTCCCAACTTGCGTCAAAGATATGCGAACATTTATACTCATCGAGATGCGACCTTCGAAAGGAGAGATTTTGATGTGATTTACTGAAAAAAAAGTTTAATGATCGAGCAGAAATGTTTCACAAGAAAAAAAAGATGTTGCATTGAGAGATTTTTCACCGTTGAAAATGTTTAGTAGACATGTAACCAGAGTAATTGTGGATGAGGAAAAATTTTGACAGATTCTAATTAATCTAGCTCAGGTTTTTCATATAGTTTTTCTTCATTTGTAATGGAGGATATCCATTTCAATTCATTGACGATATATAATCCAATATTTACTTGGACAAAATTCCATTTTCCCTCAAAAATATTTTTCAAGTTTCTTCAATTGAGAAAATGTTATTATTAACTACCAAAGACGACGAAACAAATATTGGCATTTGTACAAGAAAATATGATGCGCTGCTCCAATCTATCAACATGATGAAAGAAGAAAAGTGATTGAGCCTACAAAGTGTGAATGTAGGATAGGCTTTTGTCTTTCCAAATCTCGTGACACACCGCCTATGACCTTTGAATAATATATCGAAAATTTAATCATGAATAAATAATCGATTATCTCTATTCATCTTTTTACAAATATTATCTTTCTGTTAAATTGAAGATTCGTTAATAAGATCTTTATTGTTCTCTTATTAATATTATTTTGCTTTTTGTCCTCTATTGTACTACAGTAAATACGTAAATAGTTTATTTTCTTTACTATTGTACTATAAATAACAAAGTAAAAAGTTAATTATTGACATGACAATCTGTCAATCGGCACTTGTATTTCAAACATCTTTTCTTGTTAAGAAAGATAATACTCGATAATCTAAATAACCGAACACTTGAAAACAATCGAGATCAAATGAGGATGATGTCTACTTAGAAAATCTTTTGTTTGAATACTTGTGAGTAAACGTTTACTAACTTGTCTATCTTGATGTATAACAGAAATAATAATGATGAAAGTGATTTTTTTTTCGTCTCAACAAACAAAAATAAGACAGAGAACAAAAATTTCCTAACTACAGCTCCAATGTCTAACAATAAAGTTATATTTTAAGTTAGTTTTTCTTTTTACTTTCTATAGAATTAAAATTTAAAAGAACTAATCTATCATATGAAAGTCTCGGCACAGTAAATTCACTCATTTCACTTGGTTAGAACCAAATTTCTTTGCTCGTTTAGAATATATATTCAGAATTTTCTTGTGAGATGAGATTGGACAACTATCATCATATTGTTCCAAAACAATGGTTATACAAAATACTATTTTCTATTTCGATTGAAACCTATCGAATTCAAAACGCAAAATAGTTTTTAATGGCTCAATTTTGTCGAGCTAAGTTTACTGTACAAACTGTGCTATTTACTTTTCTATTTTGTTCTGCATGACGGATTTTTTTTGTATTTTTAACAGCAGTTTTTAAAACAGTGATTTTTTGAGTAATGCCGATTTTCACATAAACTAACTCTTTAGTGAAGTCGAATAGTTCAGAATTTGTGTAAACTAAAGATTGCGCCAAAATCGCTATTTTGTGCTTTGTCTAGACATAGTTTTGGAATTTTTTATGATATTTACCGATAGTTGTTCGATTTTATCTCAGAAAGAAGTCTTGAGTGAAAAATTTTGATTCTAATCAGTTTGTCTTTGAGTGGTAGAAAAATGAGCGAATATTTTGTGCTAAAACTTTCGTGCCATAGGTGGTTATATCTATCATTCTAAGAGTTGAGAAAAGCAATAAAAATTATCTCAATGTATTAATTCATGAAAATGAACTTCTCAAATATAGAATTCAAATTTTTAAAAAATCGAAAACTTCTATATAAACCTGAGTATAAGCATGAAAAATTTTTAAAATAATTTTTTGTATCATTGCTGATTGATCTGAATCATCATGAGCAAATAATTGCATAAAACGTTGATGAAGAAGTGGTAAAATAACAAGCATAATATCATCCATCGGACCACGATCTTCAACTTTTTTATATCTAAAAATCTCCTCCATGATGAAAATCATCGTAAATAATTATGAAAAATACATACTCATAATATTGAATAAGTGTATAAAAAACCAACAAAACACTATTCCATGTTTCAATATTATCCGTTGAAAGACATGTATGAATTTGATTAATAAATTGAGGCCACTTAGATGGAAAATCACATTTAATCAGCGTACCTGCTGTTGTGATCAATTGACATCTTAAACAATAATATTTTTAACTTTGAAAATTTATTTAAATAAATGGGTTTTTTTTTTCTTCTAACCTTAATGGATCTTTGAGACGTATAATAGCATCAATAAGAATGTTTCGTAAATAATCTTTATCAGTATCAGATATAAGTGATGGTTTTTGAGACTTTTCACCATTTGTTTTTATAACATCAACATTTACTGCATTAGCTAATGCAATAATATCTAGATCAGTTGTTGCATTTAGATCACTTCCATCGGACCAATATGTATTCACATGATTTTTTAAATAGATAGCTCCTAAAAAAGAAAAATTTCTTTTAGTAATTTTTGTTTTATTGAAAACATTAAAATTAAATACCAGCTTGTCGAGCACCCATATCACATTGTTCATTAAGAATAATTTGAATGAGACATGGGATAAAACCGGGTGTTTTACAAAACTAAAAAAAAAAAAACAACGAGTTTTTCGTTAAATAAAAGCTTAGAACAAAATAACATACTTGAGCAAGTTTTTCTTCAGCTTGCTTGCGCGTATGAGGTGCAAGTGTAGCTTGAAGTGTTTCGATTACTGGAGCAAGATCCATTTTATTCGTTGTTCTTAAGAGAAAATTAAAGAATAACTATAAACGATATAAGAAAAAAAATAAGAATAATCTATAAGCTAGTGTTCCACTGTGTGTATGCAGGAGAATTTCGTAATTAAACTTTTTAAGATAAGAGAGGTGATTTTCTAGTTTTTCTAATTGGCACAATACTACATACAGGTGACGGCATGGAATTGAATCTGAAAAGTGCTTTGCTCTTGAGAAAACCTCAGCTACAAAGTCCTCCTGTATACATGATGGAATACTAGCTTAAGGAATACCAAGTTAAGATTACGACAGTCTAATTGCATAAGAAAGACTGGATAGTTTAAAGTAAAATACATAGACAAATTGGATAGATTTGTTAGTCTAGAAATTTCATTGGTATAAATTAATTTTTTAAGAAATATTTTTCCTTTTCTCATAACTATGAGAAAAAAAATTATGTTTTTAGATATAATTTTATTTGTATATAGATGTCACTTTGATGACTCATAGATTCTAGCCAGCTGTTCTCTCTCGAGATGCTATTAGTTATTTTGTTTTTATCTATCTTCTATTTGTTTATGTCTATTTACAATCGCTATGAATTTATATCTATATTTAAAACAATTAAAAGTAAAATCTATTTTGAATTTTCTTCTCTATCGAAAATTAATTTTGTTAATATAATGAAAAAACATTAGATATCAGTTTTTATTTCAACTTGTTATTGTTTTTTTCTCTATTTTCAAAGGAATGCATGAAATTTATTTTTGAATGTTTGATTGTTTTGTTCTCCATGACACATATCATATAGATGACTCATATATATATATATATATTTTTTTTTGCTACAAATAATTCTTGAATCTAAACAATCAGTTCCGACTAATGATGAAAATAATTATAATATATATATATAGAAATATATGTACACATGAATAATCGTTCTCCATTCTGTCGTTTCTTTTTTCTTTCTTTCTTGGACGTCAGACAGTTGCAGAGAGTTCGTTACGCGCAGAAGAACAACTCTTGTGATGAGAGGATATATTAGCGATGATATATATTAGTGCAAAGAATTTTACCCTAGTGCATGCGTTTTTCCTGTTCGCACAACTATCGCCACCACCTCCAGCCTATCATTTTACTGTTGTTATTTATTCGCTTTCTCTGTTTTTTTTTTTGCTTATTTGCTGTTTTTTTCTTTTTTCTCTATTATTACGTACTAGTATGCTATCGATATTCTCTTAGATTCTCTATTTTCCACCTTCGTTTTTTCTACTACGAATGGATAATATGTTATATCAGTTGCTATTTGTTGCTTTTAGATTGTTAACTAAAGCCATTATTTAGGAAGATATTTAAAATTTCTAATGTCAGGCTGGGATCAGTATATAACAAATTTAACAAGCCAAGGCATAACCCATGCTGCAATATTCGGTGCCGATGGATCTCGATGGGCTGCATCTCCAAATTTTCCGGTTTGTTTGTTTGTTCCTTTTTTTTTTAATTTCCGTCGTTGTTTTATGAAGTATTTTTTGTTTAGAACATTAATAATCTTAAAGAAGACTTGCCGAAAGCTTTTTCTTCAAAACCAGAAGGCATCGTAGTTAATGGTGAAAAATATATTTTTATTCGTAGTGCAGAAAATTTTGCTATCCTTCGTAAAAGTGCCGATGCAATGGTTATTGTGAAATTGAATCAAGGTAAAACAATAAAATAAAAATTCTAAATAAAACTAATAATATCTTTATTTTTTTTTAGCTTATATTGTCTCAATTGGTATCAATCAAAAACCTGAATTGATAATTGGACCAACGAGTAAGATGGGTGAATATTTGAAAAATTGTGGCTTTTAATTATAGGCATGTTTGTTTTTGTCTAACCGACATATTACTTCATCATCTTTTGTTCATCTAACTGAAGTCCTTTTTTGTCATTAGTGGTTTGTGTGTGCAATTCATCATATATGTTCTTTTTCTCTTTCTCTCTCATTTTTTATATGTTAGTCAATGCTTATATGCTATTGCTTCGGTTTTTTTTCTCATTATTTTACTTGTGCTTCTGTCTTTTCTTGAGAAACATACTTTCATAAACAAAACGATTGATCTAATCAAGATCTTTTCTTTTGTCCTGCTATTTATCACTGTGCTTAGAGCATTAAAACTATCATTAATTTATAATTTGATCTATTTTATTGTTCGCTTGTTCATCATATGTGAATGTGCATGCGAATATTGAATGAAAAGAAAAACACTAACTAATATACATTTATTCGTGCATTTGTGTATACTTTTTATCTCTCTCTCTCTCTCTCTCACATATACATACGTGCAATCATATCTAGATCTTTTTTCTCTTTTTTTCTTCTTTATCTTCTTTTTTTATTCTGCGATATTTAAAAAGACAAATACATATATGAAATATGTCATGTTTGCAAAAACCACTTGTCTTAGTTTTGAATGATAAAGACAGTGTGAGGTTTGTCTGGTGCTATAATTGTGTATTTTAAACATTATTTATGATTGTGGTTATGATGTTCGTGTTATTGTCTCATTTTTTTCTTGTGTGAGTTTATTTGAGAGAGAAGAAAAAAATCGAAGTAAAAAAAATCGAATGTTCGTTTTATTGAAAATAATTACAACAAGCAAGGAATGTGAAGGTTAACGACTAGTAATATAAGATGTTACGTCCAAATCATTTATTTGCTCTTTTCGTTTATAGACTTATTGAATTTGACAGAAAATTATAAATAATAATTAAGCAGTATAGTTTTTATTATTGATTTTGATTTTGTATTTAAAAACATTGATGATTAAAAAGAATGATTTGATGGTTCAAATGAAGATATATATTGAATTGATCTATCAATAAATACAAAGATACAAATGTCTTAATCAAACTCTTATTATCAGAAAACAGGCTTCACAAAGTTAATAATAAATACATAAAAAAATAGCATGTCGTAGTTACAGGAAATTTTTTTTTTATTGTATTATTCCATGTTCTATCTAGATAAATAATATATCTTTTAAAATGAGTTCTATTATAAATTTTACAAGTCTTTCAAAATTCTACCAAATGGTAACTTATTAAAAAGTCTTCTAATTATTCGCATATATGTATTCGGCTTCATATTTAATGTCGTTTGAGTATGCTATGCTATGCTAAAATATTTGTTTTTTTTTTCTCATAAAAAAACATGAAAAATTTATCGTTGATGTCATCTACAAGATAAATGTAAAGCACTGAATACATGCTTTTGACTTACTTTATTATAAAACGATATATAATATAACTGGTGTCGAAAACAAAAATTTCTTGACTTGTCAACAACTAACATTGGCTTAACTCCTACAAAAAAGGCGACATTCCATTGGGTACACAAAGAAAAACATTTAAAGCTCTTTTCAGTAAAGCATAATTAACCATTAATAATTCTATGTTAGCAATTCGGCTAATTCTAGAATATGTTGATTGACACCAATCTTTCCACCGTTTTGGCATTGTAAGTTTTTAGATAGGACAAACAGATGCACCTTATCCCTACTATTTTAATACTTTGTCAAGGCTAGTTTCATTCACAAGATACATCGTCGGCGGCATCCTTACAAAGGAAATAAAAGTACTATGATTATTTATTCCTGTTAAACTAGTCCATAAAACATGAAAATCAAAGTACCCAAAACAGATTTTATTTATTCAGGTGAAACATTATAGTTAATATTTTTTTACAAGCTAGTAATCTATTTTTGGATTCTAATGAGTGATGCTTTTTACTTATTTTCAAAGGATTGATTTCAATGAGTGATTAAGGCGAGTTTGACAAACAAAAAATGATCTACAATGTTATTGAATTATTAAAGTTTTATGCTCTTCATATAGTTTTTGACTTTTTACTTTTGTAAGAGACAGATATATTGGTTAAAGATTGCTCCTGATTAATTTAAATCGGATTTAAGAAAAATAAAAAAAAATCGAAATGATTGATTCTACTCATATAGATATAGAAGTTGAAGCTATACAAGCACGATAAAGTACAAGAAATATTAGTGAATATTTCTATCAAAATGATAAAATTTATCAAAAACTATCCATAAAAAAATGTAATAATACATAAACAGTTCAAGTGTTTTATGTTTGCTCTTATTTAAGAAAATTCGAAGTTCTCTAAAATATTATTTTATATGAATTTGTTTAGAACAAATGTTCGATATAAATTCTATCAACCTTAATAGCTAAACTCATTCTTTTGAAAGTAATTAGCTGCACTATCGATTCATATTTTTAATTTAATTAAATCTTTAATAGAGATCTGCATAATAATAATTATTTTTTTTAGAATCGACATAAAAATTTTACGGACTTTCAAGTCCATGCTGTGATTGGTTTTCGTGTAATTGTGAAATAAATTATATAGTTGGCATCTTTTTTAGTAGAACATATATTGCCATAGGTAAATTCACTGTACGTTATGAAATTCAACAAATGATTAAAGTAATAGCTCAAACACCTGATCACGATTCATTCTTCCAAATGTTCTAAATTTCGACAATTTTTTCTTTTATAATTCTTAAACATCTTGTCAAGCGTTGTCCATTTAAAAACTGCTAGTTTTACAAAATCATAGGAAATCCTCTTTAATATGATTTATGTTGAACCTTTTTGTTTGCTAAATTCCACTAACATTTACTATTTCACAAGAGTAGATAAGTCGATTTTGATGACTAATATAATTTCCTTTTTCTATATTTTTAGATACATATATTTAGTTGAAAATATATATTGCATAAAATTTTCAGAAACGTAAAATTATTTAATTAAAAAAAAACGATGAAAATCGTTGGTTTGTTGTCGGACTATTCATATTTCATTTTTAAATGAATTTCTAGGACATTTTGTAAAAGTAAATTAAGATGTATGACACATGAAACTTGAGATTCTTTGTCAACGATCAATTGATTCAGATGTATAAATAAGTTATCAGAAATTTTCAACAATATATATCGTTAATTCTACATTAACCATACACAAACCGAACATTATTGAATAAAAATGCATTCCAATGATTTCTCTTTTTCTCCATTTAATCTTGAAATCAATGAACTGAATAAATGGCTTTGAACTGTTCTTATGTTAGCGAATTTTATCTGTTGATTTTAATAGGTAGATAAATGGTAGTATGTTAGTACGGTACAAAAATCTATCTTTATTACTTCTACAAGTGCTACTTATTTCTTTAAAAAGCATCTCTCGTTGAAATGATCCTACAATAACAAGGAAAAACACGATAATAACGATAGTCATGACCAATGCAAGCGCAATAACCTAAACAGCTACGATATACTCAGGCTTTTTGACAAACACAACCATAGAAGATACGACAATAAGACCAAGCACGTCCGCATCATCAAGAATGACATATATTAATTCCAAGGCAACGACAACGACGATAAATATTAATATATCAATAAGAGTCGTAACGGCATTCATCAACAGGATAATAAAGCAACCAAGTAGTCTAGCAACAATGATTTTAAAAGTTAGTTAAGTTTCAATATATCATACATATTAAATATAAATCATTATTAAACGTCATTTATTCTTTCAAGTAAAACAGCACTTGTATTATTCATGGCATGAGCTTGTCTCGTCTATGCATCATTATCAGTGTTCTAATCTTTTACAAGAATTTTCATTTTGACTCTCATAAGTCATCTTAATCTGCTACATTATTTATATTATTCAATATTGCATCCATTAAAGTGTTAACCGTGTCTAATGAATACATTACAAAGTGTTCGGAACTAGAATTGAAGTCTTCACACACTATAGGGTGGCTAATAAAAGTAGTTTATATTGCATTATAGAGATGAATGCTTCTGTATGATCAGGATGACATTTTTGTCAGCTAATAAGTCCCATGGACATGATTCTTAGTCCAAACACAATAACTTTTGAAGAGAATTGATATTATTGCTCTTCAAATATTAATCTGGTGAGTCGTCTACGCAATGACATACGAATATACAATGAGCAAGAGTTATATCAAATGCCTACATGTTTGAATGGAATAATTAAGTTACTCAAGAATGACTTAGATTAGTGGATAGATGTTATCTTCTTTTAGAAGTACTACTAGTTAGAAAAATATAATAGTAATAATGACTATGCATATCTTATTGAATTCTGAAGGGCTGATATCTTTGAAGCAATGTATTTGAATTTTTGTGCAATAGAAAATATTGGCTTCTAGAAATACGCTAAAACCACCTTTCAGGTGCATTTCATCGACTATTAAACTATATTAGTGATCTCTCTTTCATGTAGTGTGATTTTAAGAGATAATACCAAGTAGGAAATCATTGTTGAAAAACAAGAAATGTAGTTTTTGTGCGTGAGTCAAATGCAAATAGAGTATACGATCGGAAGCATGCATACGCGTACCATGCGAAACACGTCAGTTTGGTTGACTTCGCGTACAATGACAAAGACTCATCTTATAAAAAGTTCTTGCATGAATTTCATAGAGCTGATCGTTCTTTTTCAAAACTTGTGTTTCATATTTATTTTTTGACTAAAGTTACCGAGGAAAAGTCACACTTACAAAAAATCATGGGTATCCACCTGTGCAAAATAATGGACTCATGAGAATTTTCATTGGTTGCTGATATCATTTGTGTATTCAATTTACTGAAAATTTTATCAATAAATTTCATTCCTTTTAATTATTATTTCTTTCATACACACTTTTTGTATATATAACGACCATCGTTTGCCATTTTTGCATCATCTCGTTGGTATTCACCAGAAGTTGACCTTTTGTATCGAAAAATCAAAAAATTCAAATTGAAACACT